TGAGTCAAGTAATGATCTAAGTACAATGATCCCTCCCCCCCAACCAAACCCTAAATGGCTGAGTCAAGTAATGTATAACCCCTCCCCCCCAACCAAACCCTAAATGGCTGAGTCAAGTAATGTATACCCGGCCCCCCCAACCAAACCCTCAATGGCTTAGTCAAGTATGATGTAAGTAGAATGCCCGCTCCCCCCACCAAACCCTAAATGGTCTAGTCAAGTATGATGTAAGTAGAATGATCCCTCCCCCCCAACCCAAAACCCTAAATGGCTGAGTCAAGTAATGAATCTAAGTAGAATTAATCCCTCCCCCCCACCAAACCTAAATGGCTGAGTCCAAGTAATATCTATACATGATCCTTCCCCCCCCACCACCCCTAAAATGGCTGAGTCATATGGATAAACCCCTCCCCCCCAACCAAACCCTAAATAGCTGAGTCAAGTAATGATTTAACCCCTCCCCCCCAACCAAACCCTAAATGGCTGAGTCAAGTAATGATCTAAGTTGAATGATCCCTCCCCACCACCCCAACAAAACCCTAAATGGCTGAGTCAAGTAATGATGTAAGTAGAATGATCTGTCCCCCCCAACCAAACCCTAAATGGCTGAGTCAAGTAATGTATAACCCCTCCCCCCAACCAAACCCTAAATGGCTGAGTCAAGCAATGATCTAAGTTAAACATCCCTCCCCCCCAACCAAACCCTAAATAGCTGAGTCAAGTAATGATTTAACCCCTCCCCCCCAACCAAACCCTAAATGGCTGAGTCAAGTAATGATCTAAGTTGAATGATCCCTCCCCACCACCCCAACAAAACCCTAAATGGCTGAGTCAAGTAATGATGTAAGTAGAATGATCTGTCCCCCCCAACCAAACCCTAAATGGCTGAGCCAAGTAATGATCTAAGTTGAATGATGCCTCCCCCCCAACCAAACCCTAAATGGCTGAGTCAAGTAATGATCTAAGTTCAATGATCCCTCCCCCCAACCAAACCCTAAATGGCTGAGTCAAGTAATGATCTAAGTTCAATGATCCCTCACCCCCAACCAAACCCCAAATGGCTGAGTCAAGTAATGATCTAAGTTGAATGATCCCTCCCCCCCAACCAAACCCTAAATGGCTGAGTCAAGCAATGATCTAAGTTCAATGATCCCTCCCCCCCAACCAAACCCTAAATGGCTGAGTCAAGTAATGATCTAAGTTCAATGATCCCTCCCCCCCAACCAAACCCTAAATGGCTGAGTCCAGTGGCTGAGTCAAGTAATGATCTAAGCTGAATGATCCCTCCCCACCCCCCCAACCAAAACCTAAATGGCTGAGTCAAGTAATGATGTAAGTAGAATGATCCTTCCCCCCCAACCAAACCCGAAATGGCTGAGTCAAGTAATGATCTAAGTTCAATGATCCCTCCCTCCCAACCAAAACCTAAATGGCTGAGTCAAGTAATGATCTAAGTTCAATGATCCCTCCCCCCCAACAAAACCCTAAATGGCTCAGTCAAGTAATGATCTAAGTTCAATGATCCATCCCCCCCAACAAAACCCTAAATGCCTGAGTCAAGTGATGATCTAAGTTCAATGATCCCTCCCCCCCAACCAAACCCTAAATGGCTGAGTCAAGTAATGATGTAAGTAGAATGATCCCTCCCCCCCAACCAAACCCTAAGTGGCTGAGTCGAGCAATGATGTAAGTAGAATGATCCCTCCCCCCCAACCAAACCCTAAATGGCTGAGTCAAGTAATGATCTAAGTTGAATGATCCCTCCCCACCCAACCAAAAACTAATGGCTGAGTCTAATGAATGGCCCTCCCCACCTCCCAACCAAACCCTAAATGGCTGAGTCAAGTCATGATCTAAGTGAATGATCCCTCCCCACCCCCAACAAACCCTAAATGGCTGAGTCAAGTAATGATCTAAGCGAATGATCCCTCCCCACCCCCCCAACCAAACCTAAATGGCTGAGTCAAGTAATGATGTAAGTAGAATGATCCTTCCCCCCCAACCAAACCCGAAATGGCTGAGTCAAGTAATGATCTAAGTTGAATGATCCCTCCCCCCCAACCAAACTCTAAATGGCTGAGTCAAGTAATGATCTAAGTCAAGTAATGATCTAAGTATTGATCAGTGTTGATCATTTTCCCTGTAATGTTTGTATATGATTGGGTTCCAGAAGTGACGCCTCAGTACCAATGGGGAAACTGGAAAATCGACTCGCCCTCGACGCCGAAAAGTGCTTTTTGTGTTGGAAGTGAGTTGATTTTTGGTTTTGGGAGTGAGTTCTTGGTGTTGGGAGTGAGATGGTGTTGGAAGTGAGTTGATTTTTGGTGTTGGAAGTGAGTCGTGAACCTACTAATAGTATGGTTTTGTTTCGGAGCTACTGATATAAATTTGATATAGGGGCACGGGATTACCTAAAACAATGGTTTGTTCCCCTCAGCCACGACCCCAGTCATCAAATATGCAAACATACATACGTATAGGTATTGAGGGTGGTCGGGTCCTAAGTTTTACCGCACCCACAAGCAATCACAACCGCATCATCCATCTTTTGGGGTGCCCAAACCGAGCCGATCATCGAGAAGGACCGCCTGCAGCGGATGTGGGAGAGTCGCGAAGAGGTGTGGTTTCTTCTTCCGAACTGGCAGGTTTTGTGACGCTTCATCATAATGTCAGCCCTTGATTTTTCCCTGATGTTAAGCACTCCTAAAATGGCACACCATATTATCAGTAGCAAATTCTTAATTATTGTTCCTATTGGAGGAACCCTCAAATTGATCAAGCCGGGTTTATTAATCTGGTGTTTCTTATCCCTGAGAACTCCCATCGAACCCTGTAGTTATGGCCGGGACATCTTCTTTCACATCGATTTTTTCAGGAACCATTCTGGTAAATTTGAGGGGGAGTGAATGAAATGAAGCTATTTACTTCTCCGATCTTCTCCATTGCACACCGGATGAGGTGGGGTTGTTGCCATTCCAGTGTTCCGCGGCCATTGACTTCCGTTCAGTTTTGGAGACCTCAAAGCCTTGAAGGATTCTTTTGATATAGCGGAAGACTCTTCAAGCTTGCCGTATCTTTGATCCATTTTGATCCATGTTCGTTTCTAGATGCTCGAAGTTAGCAACGTTTCTATCTCCTGCTTCGTTTCACCTTCTTGTCGACGGTTTTCACCCGGTCCTTCTGCTCTTTCCAGGCTCCGGAGCAATCGCGGAGCGGCGTCAAAAAAAAAGAACATGTTGTGGTTGCCCAAAATTCAATAGTTTAGCATGGTTTAGCAACATATATCAGCATTGTCCTTATTCAAATGGCCATTTTGGGGAACACATCATTCTCAGACATGAGGCTGAGTCAGGGTGTTGAAGCATCCAGGTTTGCCATATTCAGCTGCACCTGGCATCTTCGCTGCTAACTTTGTGCTTCAGCTGCATCATGTACGGACACATGTCTGACACACCCAGCACTGATGCTACTTCCTATAGGTAAGTAAGTTTTACCATTGTAGGTTTTTCATGTTTTTACAATTATGGGTTTCCTATAGATTTTCCCTGAAGCCAATCCAGTGATTTTGTCAGCCAACTGAAACCCTGAATCGATGGTTGGTTTTCAAGTCTTGTAGCAAGGAGCTACAAGAAAGGAACATGTTCGAATCATGAAACATAATTTCTGTTACAGTTACATATAAATTATTGGCAATTTATTCCGAAGTAACCCATCTGGTTGTTGTTTGAAATCTCCAGAGCAAAAGACAGGACGTGAAACACTGCGCCCCCAACCACTCCACCGTCCATGACGCTCGCTCCTGCGACGAGTGGTGAGGCGCAGGGCGTGCCAAGAGCCCATAATTTGTCCTACGAATTAGGACAACCATGATGGCTGATATATATATATATACACACACATATATATTTGATATATTATAATGTTGGCTGCCTAATAGTAATTACCCCCCTAATTTTTCTTTTTTAGGGGGGGGTCAACCTTCCTATAATAATTTTTGGGAATCTATAGCTGGGATCATGATATGTATCTGATAGATTCTCCATGGTTTTGTTGGGTTTCTGATAGATTCTGAATGGATTTGGTTGGGTTTCTGAGAGATTGGCGAAGAGTTGGCAAGGCGGAAGTGGACATGGAAGTGGGGGCAGAGGTGGTGGAGGCGAAGGAGGAGGACGAGGAGGAGGAGAAGAAGGAGAAGAAGGAGAAGGAGAAGGAGGACAACAAAATTGGAGTTGCGGAAAAAAGTTTCCACTATTGCCATGCCTGGTGCAGGTTTGTTATTGCTATTCTGGGGCTTGCAAAGGGGGTACCCTTTGTGGACCTGATTTCTTGCTTTTTTTAATAATGGTCTTATAAGGAAATCAGCTGTTTGGTAATTGGATCAGATTTCTGGAATCTAAGCTTTTGCTAATCAAAAGTGAAGGCTGCTTTGAAAAGGATTTGCTTTACTTGACTCTTTTGGCAATACTAAAAGTAAATGGAGCTAATTGACTTTTAGTATTGGAGAAAAAATTGGAGTCGGGAAAAAAGTTTCCACTACTGCCATGTTGGGTCCACTATTGGCCATGCCCTCTGGACAAGGTCTGGACATGACTCTTTTGGCAATACTGAAAGTAAATAGAGCTAATTGACTTTTAGTATTGGAGAAAAATTGGAGTTGCGGAAAAATGTTTCTACTATTGACAAGATATCACTATTGGTCAGACAACATTATATATATATACATAATATTATAATATATATATAATATAGTATATACAATATATATATATATGACAAACTGTGTACTGCAATGGTTGAAAAAAGATATACTGGTAGCTCGGATAAACATGGGTAATTATCGGAGTTATCAAGCTATTCCTGAGTCAGTTACCTTTTTCCCTTGTGTCTGCACTTGTTTAATGGGTGCAACAGATGCGAAAAATGCAGAGATTCTTCGGACGACCCAGGATTTGCAGTTCAGATTGTGTGAATCATAGCAGGCAGGCTATAGGGAGAAGCCCATGGAAGCTGAGTCGATGCCTCAGGAAATCCATGGAAATCCTGGGTGGTCGTTCAGTGTGTGAACATGGACGATCTTCCCAAATATGATGTAAAATGATGTAAAGCCATGTTTTCCAAGAGCTGCTTCCCGGATCTTAGCGGCACTGAGGACTGCAATGGAGCAGGCGCCGCAAGACGCGGCTGATGAACCATGACTCGCCTCTGAAGTGGAGAAACCATCCCATGTTGTTCCCATGACACCATGTTTAAGGGGTCAACAGGCGGCCTGTTGAAGGTTAAGAGGCTGAACATGCAGCTGTGGAGCTCACCTTAGTGAATGAGAGGTAGCCTAACTATTTTCAGGCATCGTCAGGTTTTCACTCTGTTGGACCGTTGAAGGATAATTTGTTTGTCTATGTCTGGTGTTGTCTTTTACATCGCCTGGCAAGGGTTGTGAAATAGGTGTTCTATGATGATTTGTTTTGTTGTTCATTTTTTATAATGTATATGCACACAAAATCACACAAACATTCAATGCAAAGTCGAACAAAGTACAAATACATGTGAAAACCATTACAATATATATATATATTTTTATATAACATATGTTGTTGATTGTCTTTGATGTTGTGTTTGATGTTCCCCCCGAAAAGGTGCAGGGTATATGTGGGGAACAACGGGACCCCTGCACCAAGAAAGGAACATCATTACATCTACAAGGAGCCTTGGTATCACACTGTTTCTGTACATTGGTTGATTTGGTTGTATATATTTCAGTCCCAATGTTTTCATATGTATCAAGTTTTCTGAATGACGCATATGACACACACACTTATATATTATATATACACATAATATATATGATACACATATGTATATCGATATGTATATATATATATGTACATATATATATATGTAAGATATGTGTACATGATAGGAATGTCCAATTGTATCCCATTGACAGGTGTATCCCAGCAGTGTATCTCACAGGTGAACAGCTTCAAGGTGGAGGGCAACGCCAAGCTGACGTCGGGCGATCTGATGGCGGCGGTGGAGCCTTGGATATTTTTATAGTTAATGTGGAGCCTTTTGACTATAGTTAATGGGTTTTTGTAATAGTTAATGGGGTTTATAAACCCAGTTATAAGTGGGTTTATCATTTAATGAACTATAGTTATAAGATGTTATAAGATGTTATGAGATGTTATAAGTATCATTAACCATCTAGTTTTTAGAGTTATGTTCACCAACTTAGCTATCGTTTGGGGGCCCCACATTGTATACTCAAAGTGTTCTGTTCCTTTGTAAGTGGGTATATATTCTGTATGAATATAGATATATATATATTATAATAGGAACCAATTATTGCAGAAGGGTCCTATTTTGGGACACCGGTTCACGATGATTGTTGAGTCTATAAAATTGGCGAGGAATAAGATACTGCCGATACAGTAAGACCTCATTCATCCGCTAATAAAGACTATGAAGCACACATTTATTGGTGGATGTTCTCATTTATTCACGGATCGATGAGTTTGTTCCCCGTTTTCCATGCGTTTTCTGGTTGGGTTTGGGATCGGGGACTCGGACAAGCCATGGCTTTCGAGGAGTCGTACAGCTGCGGCATTGCGTTGTGCCAGAAGCTGAAGATCTCGGGGAAGTCTTTGGGACAGCTCTATGTGAACCGGGCTCAGGTGCCATCTGCAGAGATCTTTTTTTTGGGGGGGAAAACAGACATGACATCTACTGATACTGAATGTACTGGAGAAATACTGTAATATAATGTAATACTATAATGCATTAATACAGCAATAGAAAACCATCCCCAATTTTATCATAAACCATCAACATATTGGCGGCTGGTATTATTGCGTTGCTAACTATTGCGTTACTAACATTAGGTAACATCCACGTTCCCTCGACTGTGCACAAGATGTTGATGCTACGCTCACATAGGGTGGGGTGGGGTGGGGGTGTTAAGGTTCCTTTGGCCACATTCCCTCGACCTTGCACAAGATGTTGATGCTAATTACGCTCACATGGGGTGCTTGGGGTGGGGTGGGGATGTTAAAACGTTCCTTCGACCACGTTCCCTCGACCTTGCGCAAGATTTCTTAGAGCTGTTCGTTCTAACAAGATTGCTGGAACTTTGCATTTTGCAATGGTTTGTTAGGATTCTGTTTGAACTGTTAGTGCAACCCAAAGTGCTTGAACCGTGCATTTAAACCATTTTTCCAATTTTCAAGGATTCTGTTAGAAGACGACGATGATCATACCGATGATGTTGGTGATGATGATGATGGTGATGATGATGATGATGATGATGTTATAATGATGATGATGATGATGATCATGATAATCCCATCGAACTCTTCCAGAAGCGGGGCAAATGGTGGGAGTTGATCGTACCGTTACTATACGATTTTCTAGAACTGTTTGATGTTACCTGATGCTAAGCACAACACCTGTTGATCAGATTTGATCAGTCCTCTATGAGATCTGATGTATGAACACATCAGAAGCCACGGCCGTTTTGACGTGAACATCGGAGTAAAATCCTTTAAAATCCTAATGAATTGTCACATCCCCGACGGAATCAATATTTTTGGGATTTTGACGAACATTCACAGGGCGGAAGGTCACAGAAAGAGTGCCATTGACAGCCACCAGCCATGATAGAGCCCACAGGCGCAGAGCGTTGTGTGGTCAAATCTCCAACAGCCCATGGACATTCATATGGATCCCGCACATCAATACGTTGCACAACGACATTGCCAGGCGCGCGCACGTTTGGAGCAGCATGAACTGGCTCTACAGGTGCGCCACGTTCCGCTTTGGGCCTGGACTTGGCCCAAGAAAAGCGGATGGAGCTAGAAAGCACGACATGAAATGTGGAGAATGTGGTTGCTGATAATATTTGATATTACCAAAAAAGAGTGAAAGGTTAAAGCAACAAAGTAGAATTTGGATTTAGGAAGCCGGGAAGATTGCCAAGAAGATAGAAGAGAGGCTTGCTCCTAACTTGTCTGGAACCAAACAAATGCGATGGTTTATGTTGAGGGTGGGCAAGCAAGCCTTTTGGAGTCGGGGTAACACGCCACATCTGAGAATTTCCACAGTGCTGGAGATATTTCTTTCAGAACCTCTGCTCCATATATCGTATGTACATGTATGTACATGATTGTACATGTATGTATGTATATATATATTATATATATATATATATTTATAGCGCGAAATTCGTCCAAACAGGTTTAAGCAGTCTAAGCATGCTTTTCATGTTTTGGGTGATCAATTGTGGGTGAACAGTATCACAGCAAAAGCAGTACACAGCGGCCGCATTGGAAATTCATGCAATGTATTGAGTATGCCCTGCGGTCCCCCAATAAATAGCGAAGGCACCCCGCTTCCCGTGGGATTTGGTGGGAGCTGAGGAATTCTCATGAAATGGGGAGCTACGGTGCTGCTGAGAGTTTCCGACCATAATATATTAATATAATACAATATAATATATAATATGATATAATATAATACAATATTATATATATATATATAGTTTACTTTAATTTAAGAATTTCAGTTTTAATAAATATATATACATAATATATTTTATATATACTTTATATAATATGACATAAATATATTTACAAACATACACACATACACACACATACACACATACACACACATACACACACATACACACCCATACACACCCATACACACCCATACACACACATACACACATACATACATACATACATACATACATACATACATACACACATACACACACACATACACACACATACACACACATACACACGCATACACACCCATACACACCCATACACACACATACACACATACATACATACATACATACATACATACATACATACATACATACATACACACATACACACATACACACACATACACACACATACACACACATACACACACATACACACACATACACACACATACACACACATACACACACATACACACACATACACACACACATACACACACACATACATACACATACATACACATACATACATACATCCATACATCCATACATCCATACATACCATACACACATACATACATACATACATACTGTACATACTGTACATACTGTACATACTGTACATACTGTACATACTGTACATACTGTACATACTGTACATACTGTACATACTGTACATACTGTACATACTGTACATACATATACACATATACGCCCAGAAGTAAAAGATGAAATCCTTCTAAAATAGGGATAAATTACTTGTCTACCGGAGCTTACTACAGATATAATATTTGCAAAACACCAATCATACATGTGTTTCTGGCTGGCTGTTTGGGGATATGGATTTCCAGAGAGTACACTGTGGAACTTTCATTGTTCCTGATATGTTCATTGTTACACTGTCGGCTGTACAGTACCCGGTTTCTGTTGGTCGATCCTCATGTTTGCTGGTTCTATCATGTTTTATCTCCTCCTGTTTTATATACCCATTTTTGTGAGACTTATCCCAATGTTGCTAGTCCGCGAACAATTTCTGTTCTGACCGGATTTCAGGACGCAGAAGCGGGCCTGTTGGAGGCCCTTTTGCGCTGGGTTTGGGTCGAACTTTGATATGGGTGGACGCGCAAGAAGAAAAACAAGATCTGGTTGGTGGTCTTGATGTTTTTCTGTAAATATGTTTGATTTTCAATCGTAGATTGTATTGAGATGTTTGAATTTGAGCATTGTTTCAGTGGTGGGACCAATGATGATGACATTTCGATATGGCATGGGCCCTACATGAACAATACATATATGTAACTATGTAATTATATATATATGTAATATAATTGCACATTATTTATACATCAACATGGGTATATCACCCAAAAATGTAACGATTTTTTTAACCACCAACAGTTGGTATCTTTTACCGATTGCTTGGTTTGACCAGACGTACATCCCAGCTCCTTGAACGGGTTTCCAGGAATGAATTTCGACCTTCAATCAAGTGCTGTGCCTCGAGGTAATGTAACAAGAAGTAACATAGATATATGGATAACCTATGGTTTCCCCCACAAAAGATCTCCGCATTGTGATTTCCCATATCATGTTTTTACTGAAGGGCATATCTCCTTCTGGATCTCCAAATTCAATCAACATACAGTAATATTTTAACAAACGTTTTTTTGGTTCAGGACTTCATGCGTGTGCTAAAGTCTCCTTTGTGGCTGGGTCCGGACCGTTGACATGGCAAGTAAAAATTCCTATCACCTCTAATAATCAAACATTGCTGGAAAATCCAACATTCTTCACCCAGGTATTGGTTGTTTAGTTACATCCCATTATATCCGCATCAAACATGGCTGGCTGACAAAAATCCCTATTCACTTTTTTTGGATGATCTTTCCATTCCAATGCCTTCGATGGGAGATGTCACGCAGGACACCGAAAATGGTCGTGGCTTTTGGAGAGCCGCAAGTGAGCCTTGGGAACGCCAGGGGAGTCCGTCCAGGGGAAACCCCCTATGTTCCCGGGGTGCAGTTGGGCTTGTAAATGGATACAACCATAATTGCAACCGCCATAACCCAGTGTACAACCCCTTTTACTATGCCAAAATACCATAAATACCCGCTTGTGAAGTGGAATTGCCTTCCTGACTAAAGTATCATCAGTTTGGGGCCCTTACATTTACATGTTTAAAAGGTGATGTTCGAGTGGTGACAAGAGCACATCCATATTACTTGGAGATCAAGAACTGTTGGTATCTGCACCTCTAGCTATAAAGGCAGATGGCAGTACCTTTCTGAAAGCTCGTGGAACCTACCAGCTTGGGAATTCTATGACTCCAGACATAGAAGCATAACTCCTGACTTTGGCTGGTGCAGATCTGCCGTACTATATTTTTCATGTTGCTTTTATTTGATAGCACCCCCTCCCCAAAAGAAAGATAGAACCTTGTTTCCAGGATGTTACTTCGATGATATTTACAATGCATCATTTCATCATATTTCCCACTTTTCTGCATTGTTTTTTTGATGGTGTCATCCAGCTTTTGTTTGTTGAATGAAACAGCCCCCAATGGTTGCAAAGAATAGTTTCCCACTGTTTCCGAATTCCAAACAATACGCCCCCAACAAATAACAACGAAACGTTTAAGGAAAAAACAATGGGGTGAATATACATATATATATGTGTGTGTATGTGCATATATATATATATATTCAATTGAAACCCCAACATCCCCCAACCATGTTTTTTGTTCCCCACCTGCCAGGTGAGGGTTGTTAGATTTTATGTCAGTTGCCTCCTCGTCCTCCTTCTCCTCCTCCTCCTCCTTCTCCTCCTCCTCCTCTCCTCCTCCTCCTCCTCGTCCTCCTCGTCCTCCTCGTCGTCCTCGTCGTCCTCGTCGTCCTTGCTCAACTGCGACCCGCGATCCACAGTGTTCTCTGCCGGACCTCAACCACGACCATCCACGCTCCAGTGTTCCCTGCCGGACCTCAACCACGACCATCCGCGCCCAGTGTTCCCTGCCGGACCTCAACCACGACCATCCGCGCCCAGTGTTCCCTGCCGGACCTCAACCGCGACCATCCGCGCCCAGTGTTCCCTGCCGGACCTCAACCGCGACCATCCGCGCCCAGTGTTCCCTGCCGGACCTCATGAGATATGCCAGATAGAATGCCAGAAGATATGCCAGATGGAATGTTAGATAGAATGCAGATATGCCAGATAAAATGCTATGAGATATGCCAGATAGAATGCCAGAAGGTATGCCAGATAAAATGTCAGATAGAATGACACAAGATATGCCAGATAGAATCCCAGAAGATTTGCCAGATAATATGCCAGAAGATATGCCAGAACATATGCCAGAAGATATGCCAGATAGAATCCCAGAAGATTTGCCAGATAATATGCCAGAAGATATGCCAGAAGATATGCCATATAGAATACCAGAAGATATGCCAGAAGATATGCCAGAAGATATACCAGAAGATATGCCAGATAGAATGCCAGAAGATATGTCAGAATATATGCCAGAAGATATGCCAGATAGAATGCCAGAAGATATATCAGATAGAATGCCAGAAGATATGCCAGATAGAATGCCAGAAGATTTGCCAGATAGAATGCCAGAAGATATGTCAGATAGAATGCCAGAAGATTTGCCAGTAAGAAAATGTAAAAATGTCACGGTGGGGATCACACGAAGTAAAGTTTTTTTTTGGGGCTTCATTCTTAGCCTCGGTAATGGCCGCAGGTTCAGCCATGTCCTTGGAACGCTACGACCACTGCGCGGCACTCTGCATGCGTGGCATCAAGGCCCGTGGCATGGCATGGTTCACCTGGAAGATATTGGAAGATATGTTCTGAAAATATGAGAATTGTGAGAACCAGAACGCATCATCGAACTAGCATTAATTCTGGTTGACTTTTGGGCATTTGTTTCATTGTGTTTGGGTGTTGCTGTAAGTTAGAGATGTATGGTAACACCCAAAGGAGTCAGAAAAGCCAGAAAAGGTCGAAATTGCTAATTACTGTTTCAGGATTCAATTTTACTGACTATTTTTCAGGGTTGATATAGTTACCATAGATAAATTATTGTATATATCCAGTGATAGTCGGATTATATTGGATACTGTAGGTACAAAAATGTAGATGCATATGCTACCTATTTGTCCATCTATCTATATATCTTTCTATCTAACTATATATCTATCTATCTATCTATCTATCGATCTATCTATCTATCTATCGATCTATCTATCGATCTATCTATCTATCTATCGATCTATCGATCGATCTATCTATATATCTATCTTTCTATATATCCATATATATATAATATATTTCTATATCTATCTATGTCTATCTATATTTGTCTATATCTATGTATATCTTTCTATATTTATCTATATCTATCTATGTCTATCTGTATTTGTCTATATCTATTTATTTTTATCCATATCTATCTATATCTATCTATATCTATCTATATCTATCTATATCTATCTATATCTATCTATATCTATCTATATCTATCTATATCTATCTATATCTATCTATATCTATCTATCTATCTCTATCTATCTATCTATCTACCTATCTATCTATCTATCTATCTATATATATATATACATCTATATCTATATCTATCTATATCTATATCTATATATCTATCGATCTATCTATCTATCTATCTATCTTTATTTCTTTCTTTCTATCTATCTATAGATAACCCTTTGTAGATGTGCACTGTACGTATACGCAGAGGTTTTGACCGAGTCTGTGATGATTTTCTTGGGAGCTTTAGGCAGATCAGTCTCCTCCACAACTGTTGGTTAGTTGATCCCATTGATATCCCACTGTATCAATATGTCCATATTATTTATAAGAAAACGTCCTTTGTTTGCTGGTTAAATCCCTGTTATATAAGATAGGCACAATGTCACCCTCGGATTAATGAAGCCTGATTATTCATTCAGCAGGGTTAGCGCTAAAATAGCTTTAACATTTGCTATAAATTGGTGCCTCCTATCATTTTCGACAGGGGTTGGTATGTTTTTGTTAAGTCTGGGTTGACATCAATCGGGATATTACAGCACATATCCCCATAAATATATATATATATATGATTCTGTTTGACGATTGAATCCCCAGATGTTTCAAGGCACTATTAATGATGATGAAACCTGCATGCACTATGATATCAGCATCATTTTTCCATGGTGAACCCGGTAGTGAAGCCGATCATTTTGGGGGCGGCTTCGAACCGTTCCAACGCCACATCCATCATCCAAGCCATTGCCAGGTGCTGGGGGACAGCGCTGCACTGGAAGGGATGCTGGAGGAGGCGAGGAGCCGCATGGACCCGTGCGGAAGCTCAGCGGTATCGCAGGCCGAGATCGGGATTCGTTGTCCAAAAAATGGGAAGTTTTGTTTTACAAGTATCTGAAGCCAAACAAAGAGATATAGAAAGCTCATTTGAATTCATTTGATACTTTGAATTCGGATTCTACTGTTCTATCTTTTTGGATGTTACATTCTAAAGTGTTTTTTTTTACCATCAAAACACGGGGGTACTGTAACCCGTGAAAACTGGGTTTTAATCGAAGGAAGTTTGGAAGTCAAACTTCCGACAATATGGAGAGATGAAAAAGCAGTCAGCAGGGAGAAGAGTCAGAAGAGAAAAGATCAGAAGAAAGAAGATGCAGGTGCGCGAAAAGGTAGGAAAGTCGCGAAGCACTGTGTTTTTTCGTGGTTTTGTGGCTCCGGAGGGTTGAAAAGTAGGCTCGCTAAAGCGGCGGGTGCAGAGACTTCTGGGGAGATGAGGGATGAAAAGTTACACGCCGTTGTGGCGCGAAGCACATTTGGAAGTAAAATGTGTTAAAAACTGAGGGGCTCGGACCACTTTTGGAAGGTGAGATGTTGAAAAAGTGCACGCCGTTGTGGCGCGAAGCACATTTCGAAGTCAAAATGTACAAAACACACCAGCTCTGGACCACTTTTGGAAGTTGAGATGTCGAAAAAGTGCACGCCGTTGTGGCGCGAAGCACATTTCCAAGTCAAAATGTACAAAACACACCAGCTCGGACCACTTTTGGAAGTTGAGATGTCGAAAAAGTGCACGCCGTTGTGGCGCGAAGCACATTTCGAAGTCAAAATGTACAAAACACCACATGTTCGCGCCACTTTTGGAGGTTCAGATCTCGAAAAAGTGCACGCCGTTGTGGCGCGAAGCACATTTCGAAGTCAAAGCATGTACAAAACACTTTCGAAGGAAAATGTACAAAGCACTAGGGGTTCGGACCACTTTTGGAGGTTCAGATGTCGCTTCGCTTCGCTTCGGGTCATTACACTACACTATACACTCCACTACACTACAGTACATTACACTACACTACACTCCACAACACTACAACTACAACTACAGAACTACACAACTACACTCCACTACACTACACTACACATACACTTACACTACACTACTACACTACACTACATTACACTACACTACACTCCACACACTACACTCCACAAACTACAGTACATTACACTACACTACACTCCACAACACTACAACTACAACTACAGAACTACACAACTACACTCCACTACACTCCACTACACACCGCTACACTAAATTACACTACACTACATTACACTACACTAGAAAGATCGATTGATAGATACATAGAAAATAGATAGGTAGGTAGGTAGATAGTCAGAGAAAGAGAGAGAAAGAGTGAGAGAGATCAAGCACCTTTCAGTCCATCCATCAGTGGCTTCGCTCTGCCATCCCGGATTCACAACAACCAAGCTCTCCTATAGGTTTCCTATTCTTGAAACTTCCGCCACCGCCTTGTGCGGTACTACTGGTAATCAAGAAAAATATGGTTAGTGGGGGAGGGTGACCATCATTGACCAGAGTGGCTTTTACCATCTTTTAACATTAATTATTGGTTGATGGTTGGTTGATGTGCGCTACCCTGAATACCTTTTGTATATTTTGGGAGGATCATGATCCATGAACTGGACATCAATGTGTTATATTACCAATCATTATTTTGTGGATTTTCCAATAGGTCTTTGACTCTGCGAAAATATTTTTCCACTACCGGTTGGTCATATTCAGTTTTTGTTCATTTAGTCAATGGCATATGTCCAAGTAGTTTGCTGGTTAGTAATTCATAGTACCACCATAATTATCCACAATTATATACGTAATATATATATATATACAAATAATTATAAATATGTATGTATGTCCAAGTCCAAAGGCCTTGTGGATGTGTCAAAACGCTCAAAACTTATTGTCCGAGGATTGGATGGTGTGAAAATCTACAGGAAACACCATGTTTGGTGGGGAAAAGGCATGGTTTTCCCTGCAACCTCCATTGCTTAGGACAGAGACTTCAACGGCGACTGAGTTCGAGAAGAGCGTTGAGGCGACCATACGACCAGCCGGGAAGTGGTTGATAACCCGGTTTTGTCATGGTTTCGCCTAAAAAAATGTGCTAGAATGGGATATCAGGGGGATATCCTGTGGATATCATGGGGAAAAAAGTGATCTATACTGGTATTTTGTTGCCATTTCCTATGTAACATACGGCCCATTGAGTGAAATCATATAATTTTCCATAGATATTCCCGGGTGGGCCAGGAACTTGTGCCGCGGACTCAGGGCCCAAGTCTCCATCTTCCTTGGTTGAATCCCTGTGTTTTGTTGTTAAAACTCTCATGTAGCTTCGGATAGCTTGAGACTATCCACACCGGAAAAGCAACACTTTTCGGAGCTGAAAAATCCTCGACTCACATTTCAAATGGTTGGATTTGGGAATCAAAACAAAGCTGGCCTGCATTTAAAACAAACCTGATTGATCCTGCCAGTCAGATGCAAATACATTCAAATCCCAATTTTGGATACTGAAAATTGTCGAACATCTCCGTTTTGACACTGCTCATGTTTGGAGGTTAAATCCCAATAAACACCCATTGAAAAATCTTGTAAATCCCCATTGTTGGTGGGTAAAATCCCATCAAAATCTCATTCAACCATGAAATTCCCACTCACTAAAAACACCCATAGATTCCGAGTTCTGATGTAACCAACAATTTGCTTGGTGTCATGTGTGCCGCCTGAAGTCTCTATTCCTTGAGGAGGCGACCTCAGTGAACGCCGTTGCGGAGGAGCTGTCACAGCGAGCGGTGCCTCCAGCCGAATCAACGGGAACAGCTCAGCAAAACTTGGGTTTGAGCCTTTGAGCTGTGAAGAAATGGACAATGCAGAAACCCAATTCACTCCAAAAAGTTGGAACAACTCAGAGAAATGGGAATCCAATGATGAATGTTCCCACCAAATATGAGTTGCCAACAGTTGGATCTTCCATCTCATGAACACTGGCGGCTTGCTCGGTTGGATCGCCCCCGAATGCCGTTCTGTTGGTGAATTCTTAAGTTGCATGTGGTCAAGGAGAATACGCATATTATCGTAATATTCTCAATTATCACTACCATATATCATATATCATACACCATACTTACACCATACATGATATATCATCACCATAATATTACGGCCAGGCGCCTTGTGTTGCCCGGAGATTTACAGGGACGTTCCCGGCATGTTGGTCATGATGATGATGATGATGATGATGATGATGATGAGTCTAACTGAGGTGGGAGAATTAAACCCTTATTGAAGAATCTTCAATGAAGGTAAGAGTTTAACGGGGGTGGGAGAATTAAACCCTTATTGAAGAATCTTCAATGAATGTAGAAGTTTAACGGGGGTGGGAGAATTAAACCCTTATTGAAGATCTTCAATGAATGTAGAAGTTTAACGGGGGTGGGAGAATTTATATGAGATGTATAGTGTGAACAAAAAATCCTTGTAATTTACGCTATTCTGGGCTTGGGCAACACAAGGTGCCTGTGATATCTGACATGTTCAGGGTTGTACTTCCTCTAGGGACACTTCAGATCCACTGAATCGCCAACTGCTCGCTGAGCTTGAGGTGAGCTTGCTGCAAAGCTACCAGCGGGAAGCCAACAAGGAAGATCTACAGTGATGGTTCCCAGCGGGGCGGTTCCAGGACCAAACTGGCTAGGAAGATTTCGGGAAGTCTTGGGGCTGTTTTCAAAAGTGGAGACACTTCTTTACTCACAAATACAAGAGCACAGTACATTCAATTCTATACAATAATTTCCTCTGTATTGTTGTTGGTATATGAGTACGCGTATGTACATGCGTGTAAATGCAGAGTATACGTTTCAATATTTTATTTCTAGACATTTTCGCATAATCGTAGACACCTCCATGGAAGGCAGCACTTGGTTGGACTTTTATGGATCATTCCAGCTACAGCCTTTGTAGGAGCAAGTAGCACATCCCTGTTTAGCTAGGACTCAGACTTGGGATGGTCATCCAGGTCGGTCTTTAGATCCTTCATCTGCCATCCATGGTGGAAGCTAAAAAGTGCTAATTCCGGTGTTAAAAATCATATAAACCATTGCAAAATATAAATATGCATGTATTTCACATGTGTATATATATATATATATGTATGTATGTCATATACATATACTGTATATATATATGTATTATATTATATGATATAATATATTATTGAATACAATATATATAATATAATATTATATTACATTACACTTATATTATATTATGTTATATTATATGTAAACATTTGTATTTATATATACACATACATGTGAATATATATATATATATATGTATACATATATATACACATATATATATTTACATACGTATTTAAAAACAGACATATATATATATACACGTATGAATACACATATTTATATATATATATACATATATATATATACATATGTATAATTATATTTATATTTGCACATATCTACACATATGTATGCATACACGCATATATATATATATATATATTAAATTTAATACATATAAGCATATGTATATACATATACATATACATATATATATGATACATATATATATATATATATATTTTTATTTATTTACATATATACATACATATATATATGTATACATGTATGTATATATATATGTATATATTCATATATATATATACATATATATATGTATATACATATATGTATATACATATATATATACATGTAAATATATATATATATATGTATATATACATTTATATATATATATATACATTTATATATACATATATATATATATACATATATATATTTACATATATATATATTTACATATTGATAGATATATATTTACACATATACATATATATATACAGAATATACATATATATATATTTATTTATTTACAGAATATACATATATAAATTCAGGAACCGACAGAATTATGGAAAAAAAAACGTTTCAATTTACAGGCGCCGCCTGTCTATGATAGAAAAGTTACGAACCTTTTTTTTTCCATAATTATTTTTTTTCCATAATTCTGTCGGTGACTGTATGTCCATCGATTCGCAATTTGAATGCATTTTAAGGGGGAATATTGAATTATAGAAAATATGTGTCTAAAGATCTGGTATATGCCCCTAAGTCTTCCATTGATATACATAATATCATGTGATGTTCGCAATTTGAATGCATTTTAAGGGGGAATATTGAATTATAGAAAATATGTGTCTAAAGATCCATGACATGTCCAACAGGTGGAGCCCCAAACATTAATTATGGAAAAAATAATTATGGAAAAAAATAATTATGGAAAAACCGGTCAATCTGCCCTAGCCCCCTGATTTTACAGGAAAAATCAATTATGGAAATAATGGCCACCTCCAAGAATTATGGAAAAAAAAAGGTTCGGATCACTTCCGGGATATTTTGAACCCTTATGGGGAAAAACCTAATTATGGAAAAATAGGACGCAGGCGCCGCCTGTCTAAGTTGAACGTTTTTTTTTTTCCATAATTCTGTCGGTGACCATATATATATATATATTTACATATATACATCAAATACATATGTATATATATATACATTTATATGTTCATATAATATTTATATATGCATGTATCATACATATAGGTGCCATTGTCCCTGTCTGACGGGCTTTCGTTAAGTCGCTCTCCGCTGCTTCCCAAGGCGAGCAGTGAAGCTCTTCCAGGCGACGTTGCAGGAGGAGAACGGGCCCGGGTCCGTTGGGTGGGGGATTGACCCTCTGACCCTCTGGTAATTGAACATGTTTGATTTAACCATAGTTACTTATGGCATTTTATGGCTATATAATTTATACTTATTTAATCCCCCGCTAATGTACCTTTATAGAATGAGTTTGTGGTCGTTTATGGAATGCAGTTTTGGGTCTCATTCTATAAACCCAGATTTGGGGGGAATCGATCGGACCGGCTGGAACAAGCAAGTACATGAACCCTCCCTACTCATTCTATAAAACCAAGGTTTTGCAACCCTTTAACTCATTCCATAAAAGCCAAAATGCTCCAAGAAATGGATGTTAAATCGAAGTTAACCATCCTGGTAGATGCATTCCATAAATCCCATGGAGTGTCATGTTCGATTCGAGTAACAGACTTGTTTCGAAATGTTTGGACCAAACATGCACTTGAAATAGCATTCTATAAACCGACATGTCCTGCTGGCTTTCCTCCTGTTTTTTTACTTGTAACTAGCCAATTCATTCTATAAAGTTAATTTTTGGGGTTTTTAACCATCGAAATCTCAGATCCTTAAACTTGCCGGACCATTCCATAAATATGCCTCAGATTCATTCTATAAAAAAAACACCCTCAGAATCATTTTATAAACCAAAATGTTTATAGAATGCAGTCAGCCACAGTCTAGGGCACATTCACGGAGGATCTTATTCATGGCTAGTTTATTACCCGTTATTTTCAATGGTAGTTAAATCATCACGTTGCTAGTGAAAATGACCCATAGAATAGTTGATTTACCCAAGAATAGTATGGTGATTTCCCATGTTAGTTTACCAGAGGGTATATCCGCTGGATAAATTTTATCCATAAAAACGAAAGAACAACCAGAGATATGTTTATGATCCATGGAACATGGACATAATTAATGGTGTTATATCCATTTAATGGAGATTGAATCGATATTTAAGTAATATGATCAATGTTCAAAACCCCCGTTAATGCTTGGTTTGGGGATTACAATGATCCATTAGCTGGGAATCCCGTTCTTAACCAGGCAGCATACTGGAATGACAGAGGTTTTTGATCATCGCTGATATGATATCACCGGATGTAACCAACCATAACTACAATATAAGATGCTATTTCTTAAAAAAACACAGTTAATAAAGGTGGGTTATATATATATACATATTATGTATATATATATATATAACTTTTAAACCATGTTTTGTGGTAGAATGGGTAGATAATTGGGGTAATAGTGGGATGCAACTAAACAACTATTTTTGTTGGGGGAATCATCGGATCTTCAACGGGGGAAAAAACCCTCAGATAGGGATCTGTTGCCAACAAAACTTGGGATTTATTCAAGGCAAAATTGGGATATCATCATTAAAAAAAAGCATTGGTTGAAGGGAACACCTGCAGGAAAGAAAGAAACCATGGCTTTATCATTGTCAAATATGTGGTTTCCTGTAAAGATTCTTTACAACATGTTTTTTTAAATATACAACCAATTCAATAAGACTAAAAGGGGGTTGCAATCTATTCATGTTGTCCTCTTTGTATGTCTACATTAGTATCTATTGGGGGAAGCGGACCCTTGAAGCAGCAGTTCTAGACAGGGGAGCTTGGCAACATCCCGGGATGATGATCCAAAAAGTTGACGTTCATTGAAGGGGGTGGAACTGTGGAACCGCCATCAATTTTCATGCAGGCACTGGGGTGGATCAAGACCAAGACCTACAATATATATATATATTATACATATATATGTTGGTAATGGACATCCATTTAGCAGAAATTGTGGGGCTCACCAGTGTACACGGGTCTTGACCAATAGTCCATAGCCACCTCTTTTTCTTAATCGAAGAGTTCACCACCCGCCAGTGGTTTGTAACCACTTGCCATTAGTCCATATACAGTACATATAACCCATGCTGAGCCACTTGCTACCTGTGATGCACCTCCACGTTTTCTGTTTCAACATTTCAAGGCTGAAAGAGAAGAGGACCCACCAAGAATTCCAGCGTTGACAAAATGTGTTCCTCACCTCAGCACGGCTTCGGGCTGGATGATCCTCATCTGCCAAGATCAGCCCCAGTAGCATTTGAAGATCTCAGACTTGCATGATGTTCCCAATTCTAGGACCATCCTGTCCGTAGTGGTACACAATGGTCACCTACAGGATGTCTGGTCCATGGTGACTCCACCATGCATCCCCAATCGCCCGGCGGCTGGCACGGCTGGTCAGGACCCGCAGAACGAAGAAGCTTTGATTGGCCGGGAAGCCGAAGAAGCCCTTATCTGGGATACCTATGAGCCAGTAGAATTGGATGAAGACCTGGAGAAAGCTCTTCAAGTCAAGAATTGCGGTTTTTGCCCGAAATTGGGGGATCCCCAAATCCATGCAAATCCACCACTTTAGGTACTTTAGGTTCAAACCATGTTCCGTTTCGTAGGGACAACTCTGACGCGTAGGGTATCCTCCGTTTTGTACGTTGAGTTTAGGGGTCTTTTCACTACGCGGGTAAAAGTCTTCCAGGACAGGGTAAACACTTTGAAAAAATCTATTCATAGAGCAGCCAGAAATCTCACATCATGTCCACCATCATACTACATTCCATTTCTTTAATATATCCCTACTTTCTGGTCAACCAGCCTCATTGCTTTTGGGTGAATTTGGTTGCTCTTTACAAGCACTGCCTTCGTTACCTTTGCTTAATGTACCTGAATGTGACCTTCCGCTTCTCACAGGTATGCATTTTTGTGACATCCTCGGCTCTTTTTGCTTGTCATTCACTCTTTGTTGACAATATCCAAACATGCTGTTGAATTTACCCCCTTGTTCAACGCCCTTATTTCACCATATCCTATTTATATTTCGTGGGGTATCACTTATCATCCCAGTTGTACTTAGATATATCTTTGATATTGCCTATCATGATATAATACAATAATACAATATAATACAGCAGATTTGGCTTTGTCTGAAAAGAGGGTTACCCCTACATGTGCTGGTTACTGCAATCACCACCCTCCCTGTTAATTTGCCACAATTTGGGCATTGATCCCGTTTTACAAGACACACATACACACACACACACTATGTTAAGCCACACCAACATCATATTGTTGATACAGGCATCCCACTATATCTCATTATACTCCCATGGTTGCTTACATTCCAAGAATGGTTGCTTCTATTCCCATCCTTCCCATATCTCTTCGAGGCCTGGGGGATATCCTGGATGCAGGCCTCCCTGGTGGCGGATGGGGAAGGAAAGCATGGAAAACCCATGTTTCTCTCGAGTTCACCGCCAGGTATGGGAGACATCCCGAAGAATCAGGATGCGGCCAAAAAGCTCTGGCTGCAGGTGGGGATCCCAAAAAAAACCGGGGGAATCGTGGGGAAACTGTGGTGAAATTCCTGGTGAAGGCTAGATTTATGATGATTGATGAGTTATAAATGTGGATGACTTGGAGGTTTCCCAAGTGGGGGTAGAATCCTGGGATTCCAAACATTTTGAGTTTACTAACATGAGCCATCTATATAGATCTATTATGATCTATTTAGATCCATTGACTTGGAGGTTTTACCTATGATGTGCCATGATTTACCTATGAAACATTCTGATTTTCCATAGCTATGGTAGTTTACCAGAGGCTAACCATTGGTTTTACAAGCAGATGTCTGGTTGAGTCAAGCTTGGAAAATGGGAGCTTGGGTAGCGAGGCTGTGGATCATGGCAGCCAAAGAGCTCAAGTGAAGCTTTGCGGGAACACTCAGGGGCTTCATGGGGCTGGCAATCGAACCCACCGAGAAATATATGTATAAAATACACCTATCTATATATATATATATATCCCATATTCCTTTGGATCATTATGAAATGTGTTTAAATTGGTTTTATATAATATAGACATTGATATATATATATATACATATTTCCTTCTCCCTAATACTAAACGTCCCCCCCTAATAATAAACACTGCAAGTAGTTTTTAGTATTAGGGGGGTATTTATTATTAGGGAACCAAATCGAAGGCATGTTATTCATGCATTATATATAATGGAGGAAGTGATTAAAATCAATTAAATAACGCAATTAAAATATTGCCAAAAATGGGATTTCGAAGCTTCCCCCTAATACTAAATTAAAACCCTTAATTTTCCGATCTCAAAATCAATTAAATTTCTTTATATAATGCAATAAAAAAATTGCCAAAAATTGGATTTCGAAGCTTCCCTCTAATACTAAATTAAAACCCTTAATAATAAAGACTATTTTGTCCGATCTCACAATCAATTAAATTTCTTTATATAATGCAATTAAAATATTGCAAAAAATTGGATTTCGAAGGTTCCCCCTAATACTAAATTAAAACCCTCAATAATAAAAACTGTTTTGTCCGATCTCAAAATCAATTAAATTTCTTTATATAACGCAATTAAAATATTGCCAAAAATGGGATTTCGAAGGTTCCCCCTAATACTAAATTAAAGCCCTTAATAATAAAAACTATTTTTTCCGATCTCAAAATCAATTAAATTTCTTTATATAACGCAGTTAAAATATTGCCAAACATGGGATTTCGAAGCTTCCCTCTAATACTAAATTAAAACCCTCAATAATAAAATGCTATTTTTTCCGATCTCAAAATCAATTAAATTTCTTTATATAATGCAATTAAAATATTGCCAAAAATGGGATTTCGAAGCTTCCCCCTAATACTAAACATCCCGGGGTTGACTAGTCTTTAGTATTAAGGGGGGAAACCCACAAATGGTACGTTGATTTTTAGATTGTTTTCTAAAGGGGACCAATTAAAAATCAAATTGGCCAATCTGAAATTTTCAAAAATTGGAGATGGACACTAGTTTTTAGTATTAGGAGGGGGTTTAGTAATAGGAAGTAGGGATTACAGTGTATATATATATACACACAGTATTATATATATACAGTATATATATATATATACAGTATATATATATACAGTATATATATATATACAGTATATATATATACAGTATATATATATACAGAATATTTGTATATATACAGTATAAATATTTATACAGTATATATATATATATACAGAATATTTGTATATATACAATATATATATATGTTTAGACATTTATACATATAATATATATATACATACAAATACATACATACAATTCAATTCAATACAATATCATACATTACATTGCATTACATACGCGTGCCGCACAGTCTGTTTGTTGTTCCAGTGCAATTTTGCCATGCCTCCTGCTTTGGAAGATTCGCCGCAACTGACTGACTGTCCAGTGACTGGAGTCCAGTGGAAGGATGCGTTGTCATAGATCCCTCCCGAGCTGCAGCTAGTTGAAGCTGTGGCTAAGTATATAATTTGATGCAACTTGCGGTTTGAGATTGGTTTGTCTGAACATATGGTGCCCCAAAATTCAATCGTTAGTCACCATCTTTCCCATTCAAATTCGGCCTTTTCACTTGGGACGCCTAGCGACTTCTGTCCCAGCTGAACAGTTCGGAGACTTCCCGCAGCTTGAGTGGCTTACTCCAAACCTGACACCAGCAACCCACATTTTGGCTGAATTTGTGATGGTCATCAAATTCTTGCGCATACAAGGTGTTGCGCATGTCCCACTGTTGAACTGCTGATGGCGCCACGGTTGATCCTGGTTGGCTACCCTTATTGAAGTTGCACCAAACTATCCAGCATCGGGGATCAACAGACTCTATTTCCATGTTTTATGGAGAGCTTTGCAACACATTGTGGCAGTCCCTATCAGCCAAACACTGCAGTCAATCCACAAGTTGAGGTTTAGAAAGTGAATCTGATTCCCAGCAGCACTGGTTCTAAGACCAGCAACAATGACTTAACCGCTGCCCACTTCGGCCAATCACTGTCGATGTGCAATGGCTTCTTCCACTGGGCTATGGACCACTGTGTTTATTTTCCTGCTGATGCTTGGCGATCCCCTGGCTGCTTGGTGGATTCTCACCCAATCAGATTCTTAAGAAGGCGGTGAAAAACCAATCTGGCCACTTGAATCTAGATCTAGATATGATTGTCTAATGGGATTGGAGGATGATTCGATGATCCTAATTCAGTACTGCTTTCGGTTGAAACCACACAGCAGAGATGCAACCAGTTGAAGCAGATCGGTTACGCGCAGGATGGGAAAGTGGCTAGTAAGGCTAGTATACTATTCTAATAGGGAAATTGAATGAAATTTGACGATGAAGCACTGAATTTCGAGAACCCTAGCCCTAGTTTCAGAATGTTTCAGACAAAGCCATGTAACGTTCCGGCAAGGTTGTTCGGGGGAGTGTCAATCATGTAACAATGAGGACAGCAGAGTTGCCCAATGCCCACATGCCGAACTTATAAAGCACCCATGGCTTTTTAGAAAGTAACGTTGATTTGGGGTAATCGACCCTATGATATCGCGTAATGATGCGTAATATGTATTAATATGAATCATCCACATTTTCCCAACTGGGTCTGTCAGATCATTGGGTATATGATGGTATACCCTGCATATCACATGTGTTTAATTGATTTTAATAGGTGTGATGATGATAAACCAATGGATGCGCGGGTACGCTACTTTTAGACAAACATTTGCAGTATATCTTCGGTGATTTCAGTGATTTCTATTAATTCGATTTCAAATCTAAAAGTAATGCGGTAACCCAATGCCATAAACCTCCACAAATAATGAACATGTTTGCCATGTATTTCTGGTGAGTCATTCCGGATGGTTGATGAAATTGACTCTCCCACATAAGTTACAGTATGCATTATGCATTTGTATGCATGTGTTGAAATCTTTTTAGCACTCCAAATCCATCCCAATCCCCTAGGAGCAATGTCAGTGGTGTGGCGCGCGTGGTGGCCGCTATTGGTGGCTACATGACCCTCACCATGGGCTTGATGCTCATCGACTGGATCCAGACCTTGTGTGGCAAAATGGGGGAAGACCGGACAAAAATGTTATGGGGGTAGCCCAATCATCCAAGTCATTAGACCATTGTAGTATTGAAACCTATCGTTTTGGGAATCCCCCATTTTAGGAAACCTCCATGAAAACATGGCAAGTTAGAATGGGCAAAATCATGAGAAACCGACGTTCTTTTTTTTTGTGTGGGAGGGGGGTGGAATGCAAATTAGGCACAAGGTGTACCAAACCTTGTGGAGATAACACACATGAATGGACATGTATCCAAGGATTGATGAGGATAACGGTGAAGGCCCCCCAATATTCTGGATGCTTTTCATGTCCATCTCCCAAAAAGATCCAAAAAGGGGATGACATTCCGGATGGCATATCTTTGAGTTGTTTGGCTCAACCAGCAAGCAGACAGCACATGGGACCTCAACCATCAAAAGAGTTGCTTAATGAATCATTCGAAGGTGGGTCATAGCTTGCGAATCATGAGGTAGAAACCATGTAGAAACCATGAAATATATCATAACTTCATATTGTATCGATATCAATTGTATATTTTATGGAAACCCAGATAACATATAATAACCAATATGACAAACCCAAATAATTAACATATAATAACTGGGTATCACAGATTGGTACTTGGACAACATGGGATCCAGTGGATAGTGACTATAGTGATCACAGCCGAGGTTCGCAGACTCTCTGGGTTGGGACTTCGGAATGAAAGATGCTGCCGTGTTGACTGTGCCCCGGCGCTTGAAACGAACAACTGTCACAAGCTTTAGATGGCGGTTTTCGTCATCTGTGTTTGTCGGGCTTCATCCCAAAAAGGGACACAAGTTGCAGGTTATATATATATATACACATATATATATATATAATGATTATTATATATATATATAGATCTATAAAGACATAATTATAAGAACTTTTGGGAAGGCAAACCCTGAAGTTACTGATTGCTTGGTTAATTGACTAGTGCCGTTTTTTTTGTCAAGCAAAGTAACAGATCACCACACACACGAATTAGTAAACACTCTCACAAACCGTATTTAAAGCAAGTTTACTAGCTGATTGGTAAGTGGAGTAAATCCAATGCAAATGCTGAGTCGGGATTGAGTCGGTAGAAGCATTGGATCAGGCGACTACCTGCCCAGAGGAAAGGGGTCTTATCAGCTATACATCATCTAGTATTCCTCCCCAAGATGATACAATATACCACTATAAGGCTATTTTTGATCCTCTTGCCTCACTTAGATGGTAGGGGCCCTAGTGATGTAGCATGATGTAGCAATGTTACCTCCAAATGCACCTGGAACTAAGGTGGCATTTGACTTGGGTTCTTCGATTACGGCTCCTCATTTGCGCATAGTGTTTAGGGAGTGCTTCAATGAACCCAGGTGGTTGATGTTCGAAGGCTTTGAAGAAGATCTACACGTGGCATGACATGGTCTCAGTTGCTGAGTTGTCAGAGCAAGCTTCAGTGATCGGATTTGTTCTTCCGTATCAGTATCCACTTCCAACACGGCCCAAATATCTCATATACGACTTTTGGTTTGCGTTCCTTGAATAGTAGTTAATATATGTTAATATCACAGGGCTGTCGTACTATTCCTGTTGCTCGTGTTTTTTCCAAGATTTTCCATGTCGCCCATGTTGGCCTGCGACTCTGCGGGTCCCATATGGTCCCATCATATCCGGCAAGGCCTGGAGCCTTCGCAAACATGTCAGCTTTTCCTTTTTGCTAGTGTCTCGGATGCATCTCCTGGGTCGATATTTTGAACCAGTAAAACTTGGAATCGGGGTGTTTTTGTTGTGGCAATTTTGATCCTAACCAGCGAAATATATATGGCATGGTGAGATTGGCCATGCTGAAGGAATCAATTTGGTGGAGCGAAGATCCAGTGATCTAGTCATAGTCGTGGCAAAAGCTGAGGAAAACATGCATATTGACAACATGGGTTGTATGGTCGAGATTTACCCTCTGGTAATTCAACAGCTTGCCATGGAATTTCACCATAGGCGAATCATGGAAGCAAATGTGCTGTTTTCCACAGCAAACTGTTGATTTAAATTTACCCCAGGGTACCAGTAGTACCGCACAAGGCGGTGGCGGAAGTTTCAAAACTAGGAAACCTATAGGAGAGGTTGGTTGTTGTGAATCAGGGATGGCAGAGCGAAGCCACTGATGGACTGAAAGGTGCTTGAGGTCTCCTCTCTTTCTCTCTCTTTCTCTGACTATCTATCTATGTATCTATGTATCTATCTACCTATCTATCTATCTATCGGTCTGTCTATCTATCTATGTAACTTTCTATCTATCTATCTACCTATCTATCTGTCTATCTATTTATCTATCTATCTATCGATCTATCTATCTATCTCTCTCCCTCTCTCTTTCATCTAATTACCTATCTATCTATCTATCTATCTACCTATCTATCTATTGATCTATCTATCTATCTATCTATCTATCTCTCTCTCTCTCTTTCTTTCATCTGTTTATCTGTCTAGCTGTCTATCTGTCTATCTATCCATCTATCTATCTATCTGTCTATCTGTCTACCTGTCTATCTATCGACCTATCTATCTATCTATCTATCTCTCTCTCTCTCTATCTATGTATCTATCTATCTATCTATGTATCTATCTATCTATCTATGTATCTATGTATCTATCTATCTATCTATCTATCTATCTATCTATCTATCTATCTATCTATCTATCTCTCCATGTATCGATCTATGCATCTATCGATGTATCTATCTATCTATCTATCTATCCATCTATCGATCTATTGTAGTTGTAGTTGTAGTTGTAGTAGTTGTTGTTGTTGTTATTATTGTTGTTGCTGTTGTCGTCGAAGTTAGGGTATTCGTGTTAGTGAAGTTACTTAAGTTAGTCAAGTTAGTTAAGTTAATCAGTGTCTACTTTTTCGACATCAGCACGTCAAAAAAGCCTCAAAACCCTCAGTTTTTACACTTTTGACTTCGAAATGTGCTTCGCGCCACAACGGCGTGCACTTTTTCGACACTTTTTCGACATCTGAACCTCCAAAAGTGGTCCGAGACCGTCAGTTTTTAACACTTTTGACTTGGAAATGTGCTTCGCGCCACAACGGTGTGCACTTTTTCAACATCTCAACTTCCAAAAGTGGTCCGAACCTGGTGTGTTTTGTACATTTTGACTTCGAAATGTGCTTCGCGCCACAACGGCGTGCACTTTTTTGACATCTCAACTTCCAAAAGTGGTCCGGACCTGGTGTGCTTTGTACATTTTGGCTTGGAAATGTGCTTCGCGCCACAACGGCGTGCACTTTTTCGACATCGCAACTTCCAAAAGTGGTCCGGAGCTGAGGTGTTTTGTACATTTTGACTTGGAAA